TGTAGAAGTAATTCTCAACTTAAAATTCATCTAAAATGAATATGCTTTTGTTATTTGCTCCACTTATGACTTTTACAGTTTATCATAAAGTTCATTGTTGTTTGTTTGTTATCTTCTTCGCTGATTATTTGATATTAATTTCTGTTTCTTCAGCTCTAGCTGCAGTTGTGCAAACTTCAGTTGTTAGTAGACGGTCCCTTACTTGAATATCAGTGCCTCATTTCCAATTAGTGTAAACCACATTCTTTCAGAGAGATAGTTAAAGGTATGTCACTGCAAAACCTCAAGAAATGTTTTTGTTGTGGACTATGTAGTTTGGCTTTGAGAATCATAAATAAACAATCAGTCTGATTAGTACTTTCTTGCTTTCATATATCATCTACTTAAGGATGAGCAAATTTTGTGCTAGAGGCTCAAGATTTTGTTCTGGATGGCAACATCTTCAATAGCAGGTAGGTGAAGTGCTCTAAATGATAGCTTTGTTTACAAATTAGTTTATTTTATCAGCTCAATAGAAAAGTTCAATCATTTGAACGCAGTTTTACCATTCGTCATGCAGGATTATCAACTTCTCTGATACATCAAGGAGCTAACTAGACTTTGCTTTTCTGCACTTTGATTATGCTATAGAGACTTACTACATGACAATGGCTGCTACATTTGAAACATCTACCGTTTTGATCCCAATGGCAGTAGAATTATATGGGTTATGAGTTTTGATATAAGATTTGGTGAACAGAGCTTCTACTGAAGATATGGTGAAAAAAAAAATTCTTGATGTTTGTTTGTACTTTGATATTCACATAGTGAAGTATTCTTCCTAATTCTGTCTGCACACTAAATCTGTTTCTTTAAACTTCTTTGATTATCCGTTTTCGTATCTAATGGTCATGCCGTACCTCATGTCTAAAACACTATCTGTAATGGTGCACTCTTTTGGGTGTTGAAGTTTATATATCCAATGAAAGATGTTGCTTGCACTAGTCTTAAATGTTCAACTTCGACATGTGTTTAGGGAAGCTAACATGTGTACTGATTTCCTGGAGAATATGGGTCACAACCCCCCTTCTTTTGTCAGTCATCATGTATGCTGATATGAATGGGACAGCGTTTCCCAAATTTTTGTGGAATTCTATTTTATTTATGAATGTTTTTCTCTCTTTTCACCCAAAAAAAAAACAAAAAAAGATGTTGCTTGCAATGCTTTTTGATGTAGGAAGGCTTTTAAGACTCATAGTACTTC